AAACAACATCGGCGAAAGCAACAAGCATATGTGCTGTAGTCACAAAGCAATAGGCTACCAACACGGGCAAATTGTTCTGACGGAAACCCGGATTAGGAATCAATGACATCTAGATCATCTCTGCTGACAATCGGAGGGCGGCGAACACCCCCCTCCCACTTACCATCCAGTTTCCCACACTCTCCCTTCCTTTTCATCTTCCCGCATTTTAGGCATCATGCCTGACACACGGCCGACACATCATACTTACTCGCGCACCCGGGGCATGGTATGTATGTAAGCCTTTGTCCGTGGGTCGAAACGAAACCTTCTAGAAGCTCCCGAGTGACATTCCGTGATCCGCGAGGAACGACTTATACGCAAGGACCTACCGGAAGCAGTAAATGCCCATCCGGAGCGTCCGTTAGTTTGGTCTTGTTTTGTTTGTGCTTGAGCGGATCTCATCTTGTCTCGAATCTTGACAAGCAAGCACACGCCCATGGATTCTTGTTTGAAGAGGTAACCTCACGTCATCTTCGTCGTCAAGGCGTGTTAGACGACTAAGCTCCCTTATTCAGCAGGTTCGCGTTGGACAGTCCGTACTCTGCTGTGAGTTTCATATTAATGAGTTTCATAATTGCCAAACAACCCCCGCAATCTTCTTTTCTTAGTATCGGTGCCTTTTCCTGTCTGGGCTGAGAGACCCGATCACACGAAGGAACAGCACCGACAAAAGGCCACAGGGAAGATGTGATATAGGGCTGAAGTTGGCCGACGATTGTGACAGGGCAAGGCTGTGTTGGTCGTCCCCCCCTTTTCTCCAATTTGTCACCAGAATGCAGCACTAAACGGGGACAAAATACATCGACAGGTCCCCCTTCCCGTCTTCCTCGTACTGTACTTCTCCTCCCCATGTCCTCCTCTGTCCTATTTCTTATTGCCCCAGTATGTCGATATAGAAACACTAGGACCAAAGCAGCCACAGGGCAGAAAAAGGCTTTGCCTCTGCCGCTTCCTCTAGTTCACGTCTAGCTGTATCTTTAGCAACATTTAACATCACGGCCAGTCCATGCACGATGACGGGTTTTCCCTCGGCCGGTTCGGCCGAGCCACGCCAACCCGGAGGGATGGACCGATCTGGTCGAAGCCTCCGAGATGGCGTTTCTTCGTCTCGAGTCTGTGCTCTTGCTTTGTATACTGCCTGTTTCTTGACGCTGACAATTGATCTCCCGTTCCCATTCGACAGGGCAGCGTGTCAGTTATTGGAGGGGGTGGCGTATGTATTGGCAGCTGTTCTGCTCTTGTCGTCTTCCTCCTCCCTCTTCCACACTCACCCCCCTCCGTTTAGAATGCGAGATGCCGTGCTACTCGTGTGTTGAACTAGGCGACATGCGCACTTTGCATTGCATCGTTGGGGAGTAGGAATAGTACAAGAAGTAGCGAAGCAGCGACACTCGTTCATATTGAAGCTCCAACGCTCCTCTCTATGACGGGATTACTTGGCGACAAAATGGGGGTTGCTTCATGCTTCACCGAGATGGATCGATAGACGTCTGACAGGCGGGCTCTCACATAACTGAATTCATGAAAGACATCGACATTCAAAGTGTGATCCCGCAAGATGAGCAAAAGAGGAACGGTACAAGGGGGTGGGTGTGTCCAAAGCAGTGGTGTGACGCGTTGTCAGCTGTGCTGAAGAAGAATCGAGCAGGGTTTGGCCTGCTTTCCTTTGGCTTTTCCGTCCACATCCCGCCTATCTTCCCCCAAAGAAAGTAGGAGGATCTTGGTGAACCGTCTGGGAAGATGAGCAGAACCGGGGAAAGAAAAAAAAAAGCCTCGATGCCAGCCTTTTTCCCGTGGCTTGCACTGCCCTGAACAAGCAGGTCTTTGCTTTGAGCAAGCAGTTCGGTGTTTGGCAGATTGCGCGATGTGTTATGCCGGTTGAACTGCGCTCCTCTCCATCCCACGACAGGCATACTTGTACTCGAGTCTCTTCCGAGCCGGTTGGGGTCCTTTTTATTTTTTCTTCATGCATGTAAAGTAGGTAGCATCGCATATAAGCGAATATTGGGGGCCCTCGAAGTCGGAACCTACACACACAAGCCTGCCCCTTCGTGCCACTTCTTTGCGAGCCTTTCGTCTGTGCGGTAGCACATCTGCAGGAGCAAGGATGAGGCTTTACAGTACGACCTCTTGCAGTTCCCCGATGAAGTCGGAAGCGCGTGATAGTGGTTGACGGCCTTGCATCTCTCCACTTGCTCTCTTGGTTCTCTGGGGCCCCAATCCAACGCCAATGCAATGTCACGATAACGGCATCGAGAAAGAGTTCGACAAATGCCACTGGAGTGGCTTGCCGGAGAGCGGGAAGGATTGTTCTTGGCATGGGCTGGGTTTCTACTCCCGATGGGGGGCCGGCAAATTGATGCCCGATTCGCCGTAATTGGTGATATCTTTCTGCTTCTCATCTCGTTGCTGGCCACCGCTCATTACACATGCATATATCTCGACACCCTCAGACTTGTCTTCAACGGGGAGAGACGCTTCTCGTGAGGCGGTCCGATGCATGTCCATGAACTGCCTGGGCCGAGTAGTATTGAATACTACTTTGCAACTGTCGGCTTTCGGGTCTGGGAAAGCCGGGGCAACTAATTATATGCATACTGCGTGAGAGGGTGCTGTGTGTGTCCAGCGACGCAGAACTTTCGTAATGGTATCTGACTGCATTTTCCGCGTGGGGCTTGCATGAATACTGCAGTCTCTCTGTTTGCTGTAGATGTTGTTCAACTGCGCTTCTGCGAAGTGTTATTGTAAAGCCATGGAGTTTGCATCTATACTCCGGACGCTCTGTACAGCAAGGGGCACACAGCATGCCAGCTCGTGAATCATGAGCATCGCTGCTTGCGCCCTTCTCAGCAGTTATAAGGCTTGGGTTCATTCAGGACAATCAGGTGGTTTTGGATGATGATGATGATAGCAGGCGTTCACTATGCTTTGAATAGTCTGTGGTGTAATTTGAAAGCCCATGTATCTGCCATGCGACGACAGATCCTGCTTCTCCATGCTTAACCTACATGAAGCCTGTCGTGTATGTGTGCAGGTAATTGCATTGTAAGTCATGTACGTAATAAAGGTGTGTTGTGTATACATCAAGTGCCTTGATCATGAAAGACTGAATGAACAACGTTCTTCCCAATTGTGCTAAAACAGGGGCAAAGATGAAGACAACGCTTTTTTGGCCTCTTATAGCCGACATATGGCAAGATTATGGCTACTGACTCCTGATCTTTTCCAATCAAACCCCGTACTTCACTCATCTCGGCCGAACGACCTCTTAAGGTCCATGGCCGGATGCCCATGCCAGTTCAAATCGAGATCTCGATCTCGGACCGTCTTGCCAGAAGTGATTTCCGATGTATCATATATCACGATCTCTGTGAATTAGGAATTAGTCACCAAAAAGGTCATCTGAACTCCGAGCCGGACAAGTTCCATTGCTCCAAGAGTAGCCTCAACAGGTCATCGTACTCCGAGCTACTATGTATAGCCTTTCTAAAATTGGTTCACTCGGAGTTGGCATGACTCTGCCAAGAGCCTTACAATGGAATCGAATTACATGTTAGTCAGTCCAACGACATGATTGAAAATAGCTGTTGGCTTGATTCCAGGAGATCAGCTTCCGAGCCGGTAGAATGCGGCGCAAGTCAGTTCAGTATCGCGACTTACATCCGTTGAGATAAATATAGACATGACCGAGGATGTAACATGCAGAGAGGTCCGACAACATTGATCATGTATAGCAAGCTTTAGAGCGTAATTGGGGTTTTAGGATCGTGCTCGTTGTGGTCATATAGTTGCTGGCGTAGATGTGCTGTCTCGATAGCATCGAGACATCTCCCAGAACTGCTTGACCGAAGAAGTATTCAGCAGAGATCTGACCGTTCAACTCACTCAACGAAAAGCTCACTTCCACATGGAGATCTGCTTTAAGTTTTGTACCAGAAACGCAGTAAAGTGTGTTGCTTTCAACATTACACGGCCGACTTGCTAAAGCTTGTCGAAAGCATCCCAACTCTCATTCCTCCTGCTTCAACGCCGTATATTGGGCCCAGACAGTTCGCCATGGGAAATTAAAAGGGCATATAAGTGATACTCGCTCGACGCTTGATATCACCTGCGTTTGACATCGACTACAGATCTTTCATAGAGTCTCCATTTCTGAAGTTGCTGGGGCCGGTGCAAAGAGTCTTCGACTATCAAATCAGCGAAGCATTTGTTGGCCAACAAAATCGCAATTCTCGAAGTGTAGGCAGAGAGAGTTGATGAAGACTCAATGTCTTCCCACTGCCCAGATCACCAATCGACATGTCGCCGCACTATATTGCTACGGAAAGGGGTATGTTTTGCCAGGAACTGAAAGGTGTCGTGTACACCTTCACCTGGAGTACAAGTTCCGTCATTAGCATCATCTACTAGATAACAATAAAGGGCCAGCCGAGCTTGACTTGTTGTGATGTTGGCCTTTTTAGCGCACGGAATATGGTGTATTAGAAGGGTTAATTATCTTCTTTTACCATTGAGTACAACTATTCTATGAAATCTCCATTCCTGGAGTTTCTGGTCTCAATGCGAAGGGTCTTCGATTATCCATTCCTCAGAGCGACTGGCAACGAATGAAACACCTGAGCGACATGCGATCGTCAGAGTGCAAGCATGTAGAGTTGTTGAAGGCTCTAACAGTTATTCGCTATTAGGATCACCAATCAAGATGCTACCGCAATGCATTGTCATCAAGTGCATGCCTCTCGCACAAAAATCCATGTACATTACCTCCTAGAGAAGAATTTCATCATTGGCTTCACTTACCGCTCGATAACAAAGAACCAGACGGGCGTAGACTGTTATATCGAGCTTTGTAGCTTACGACAAATGGCGTAAGTGACTGTCTATGAAGTTATATAACTCTAATTGAAGCGTAAGAAGAAGGGCCCAGGCATCACATTATACTCTCTTCATCTTCACCTTCAAGCAAGAGTGCAGTTGCCCTTCAAGGGATTCTTCTGGTACTGCGCAACGGCAGCATCCTTGACAGAGTAATCAATGAGCTGTCCCGTGCCCGGAACCAAAGCAGCCGTAAAGTTGAAATCCGCAGGGGTACTGAAGCCGCCAAACTGGAGCCTGATCTGGACATCGTTCATAATGCCCGTCTGGCTGACGGTGAAGTCATTGAGCGGCGGCGAAACCTCTCCAGACAACGTGTTGACAGCAGAAGCATACTCCTGCGCGGCAACATCCTGCGAGACACCAAGCTGCTTCACGAGGGCCTGGACGGAGCACGCCTTGTTCTTGGGGTTGAGCAGGAACTTGTTGGCGGCGTACATGGAGGTCATGAAGCGGGTCAGGAGGGCGGTTTCCGATGTGCTCGCCAGGGACGACTCTCGGATGGTGAAGGCGCTCGAGGTGACGGGGGCAACGACGTCCGAGATGCGGGCGAGGATGGTGGGGGCTTGGCCTGAAGGGAGGTTTTGGCCCTCGACGGTGAAGGGATAGGTGAGGATGGTGGCGTAGACGGCGGTTCCGTTGGGGAGAACCTCGTTGACGAGAGCTGAGTATCGCTGGGGAGTTCCACCGACGGTCTGTAAGGTTACCGATTAGCTATATGCCGTTGAGGATAGTGTTGCCTCCCTTGACCATCTCCAATTCTCTTTCAACTCACCATGAAGTAGTAATCATTGTTAGCCAGCGTCAAGCCGTTAGTTGCCAGAACATCCTGCAGCAGATATGCATATCCGCTCAGCGGTGAATCGACAATAATTGGCTTCCCCCTCAGCTGGTCGATGCTGGTGATGGACGGAATTGACGCAAGCACAAGATCTGGCCCTTGATCCAACTGGCCAAGTACAGTCACCTCCTGGTTCTGGTTGAAGCGGTAGTTGAGCGCATTGTCCACCGTCGCCGTCAGGATGTCATATTCGCCGCTGAGGATGGACGCGAAGGCGGCGGTGCTGTTGGGGACCTGGTTGTAGACAACGTTGAGGCTATTTTCGGTGAAGAAGCCGAGCTGGTTAGCGACTGAGTAGGTGGCCGTGGCCAAGCTGAGGAGTGTGAGACTTGTTAGTGGACAGACGTTAAGGACGGGTGCTGGTACGGCTATAGAGATGGAGGGAGATGAGAAACATAAATGCGGGAAGACGAAGAGGAATAACAGCATCATGGGAGCTCCGCGGCGGAAAGAAACAAGACTCACAAGGCGCCATATTGAACCGTGTCGAGAGCTTGAGCGCAAGCCGCGAGGCCAGCCAGCACGAGAGAACGCGACTGCATTGTTCCACCTCAGAAGGACCCGAAGGAAAAGTGGAAGAGAAGTTGTTTCTCTGGGACCTCTTGTCCGTCTACTTTTCCATCGATCCAGGCTTCATTGCGAAGGGATGGTGCTTGGTGACGCAGATATATGTCGCGATTCCTCTCTTCCCAGTATCCACAATCTACTTGCGACGGCTCATCTTGCAGTTCGGGATAATTGAATTCGATTCCCATGTCCTTCTCGTCATACTAATCCATGTGAAGTAAAGTATTGGCAGGACAAGCATGCGGGGAATGCAGTTGATATTGCTGCTAAGGATTGACCAGCAGCTGTGAGGAGCCGCTCGAATTAAACTAGGGAACGGAGGAGCAGCAGAGGTGAAGAAAAAGCCCCCTTGCTTGCTCTGCTTTGGTTCTGTTTGCGAGAATGTCACCCTCAGTTGGGTGAATGCCGTTGGTGCCACCTTGCTTGACCCTCTGGCTGGGGTGCCTGGACGAAAGCGGACCAATTCGAGGTATTAGTGGCGGGATTCGGCATCGTGAACTTGTGCTTGCAGCTCGGAGCTGCAGGAGACAGTTTGCTGCCTCTACAGTACGGCCGATTATATGTAAGGTCATTGTCGTCTTCCATAACGCAGAACACAATCCATCAAATTAGAAGATTGTCATGTATGTCAACGAACTGGTGGATCCAGGCAGTGAAGATCCTTTTGTCAGGTAAACAGACGGGCCAGCCTTATCCCGTCGACGTGAAAATGCTGACATGATCATGACAATATCGTCAGTGAAGCATCTAAGATCCCCCCGTCTGTACTGAAAGTATTCCCCAGTCTGTCTCAACTAATAGCTTCACCGGAGCTCACCGCTTATTGTAATTGCTTCATCAAGCCGAGCATCTAGCAGCCCCAGCTCCTTGACTTCGACCATGGGAATAAATACAGTTGAGAGAAGCTGCTTTGACTAGGTATCAAGCTGCTCAACTGTGCCGAGCCGTTGTCCTCCATCCCCAGCACCCTCTGTCTTGGTGGAGAGTAGTCGGCTATAGTTGATGGCTAACAACCAATATTAACCAATTTGGCAACCTCTTCTATGCGCTGAGCGGATGTCATAATGCTGAAAAAATGTCTGAAGCTCCTCAAGAGTCGGAATACTGGTGATTCCACGTCACGGCTGGAATACCCGCTATCTAGCCAGATGCATCTTCGTAGGCCTCACCAGTCCTCTATGTATTTGAAGCCTAACGACTGAAGCCAATCGCTCAGCATGTTCCAACCGACTGAACAAACCAGCATTGAGACCAAATAGCTTAGCCACCTTTTTGCCTCGAATTGGACTTATACGCCACTCGTATTTCATGGTTCTGTTGGCTTCACAGGGACGTAAAACGCATCATGTTCCACTAACACGGATATTCGAAATGTCGTCCGGAAAGACAGATTTGAGGAGCAGCTATCGCTTGCGAGCTGATCTCGAGGCGGCAAGCTGGATATCTGCCCAGCCTGCAATGCGTAGCCTTCTCTTTGCGATGACTGTCGAGAGAGAGATAGCTGTCTCCAAACTTTCCGGCAAGGCCCGAGCCATATTACCCATGCCTGCTTTCCTGACCCTCATTCTAATGGACGCGCAATAAACGAAGGTTCAAGTCGAGATGGAATGGCATATTCGTCGCTCATCTGCCCTTGTTGCTCGTCTAACCCAGCCAGGAAGCAAAGCCCGTCCTATCCTATACCAAGAAGATAGAGCCAACAGCTCAGTGTAAACAAGCGAGGGACTATTGCAGCGAGGAGGACGTTTCCCAGCGGCAGATGGCCGATCTTTTTAAGTCTGTCCGCCAGCACCTTTGCTTGGTTATTCTATCTGTACCATGACATCCCATCCCGATTTACCCGGGCAAGAGGGCCGAAGGATTCAGTCAGGCATTTTAGGGGACCCCTACGGAGGTTACATCGTTGGCCCGCCGGCGAGAAATCCCGGTGATTATTACTCCTAGCAGACGCCTGGAGGGAACTTTTCGTTCTGTTGGTTCTGGAGATGCATATGTACTTCCGTAGCTTCTCTCGAACTGCCAGGAGGGGACAGAAAAGAACAGGCCATTCCCTTTCATTCCGTTATACTAGCTTCAACTCCCTCGCGTCCTTCGTATTGCTCGGTTAATGAAGCTTTTAAAAAAGTTCCGATTCTTCGCTTTTGCATTGAATGCTTCAAATACAATATCCAGGAAAGGGAATTACTTAAGTGCAGGACTAGGACAATCGTCCAGAGGAGGAAGCTGGGGGCCTCGGTTCGGGCCGTATCGCCAATTCCAGGCTCCTTCAAGACTACATACTAGTACGTGGCCAAGAGCAAAGCCCACAGCTGATGATAGCAGCTCGACTCCTCGCTAGGGTTCAGCGAGAACCGAGGAACTGGGGTGCATGCTTGCTTCAGCAGGTAGGCGCTCGTATACGGAAAACACTTCCGGTAACTTGGCATACTTAGCAAGTGTAAGAGGAAGAGACTACACACATAACAACCATATTCGCATATCCCACTTTCTCTTCTTCGACAAAAGCATCAACAGACATTCCAAAACACTACCCGTCGGGTTGAGTTGTATCGGGCTGCTGAGCCCAGCGACTGATCAACCCGTAGGGTGGCCTTCGGGATCTTTTGATTGTAGGGAAATCGTGTTACATTCCGCGGACAGACAGCTGCTCCGTTGTGAGAAGTAACAGTAGACTCGCGTGGCTCGCATAGTCGTATTGTAGTAACAACAGACGGAAAACAGCCGTTCGCCAATACGACTTTATGGCACGGGGCCTCGAGATTTTTCGAACTCTGAGCGGATGTAGCAGCAGCGCTTCGAAGCAGTCGCCCACAGGTATAATTGCATGTAGCGAACCAACCACCAGCCAACGACGCAGGGGACCGTGGAAGGGGATTAGTTTTGCCTTCCGGGCTCCGCCAGCCTATCAGAGAGCAAATGTAACGACGGGGAATCGAATCCCTCGTTGACAGGCCCGAGTGCCGACAGCTCGGCATCCGGAAGAGGAACGTGGATAATATTCAGAGCAGGCCATAATCACATGTATAAGCCACACGTGTCCCCCTTGTTGTCGTCGCGAGGAGACAAGGAAAAGGAGGAGAGAGAAACATGCCATGATTTGCGTCTTCGTGATACATCACCCCTCCCCCGACATTCTTCTCCCGGAGCACGCACCGTCTCGCATGCCATGATCGATATCGATATCGACGGGCTGATGTTGGGCAGGCGTGATGCCATTGATGATGGGGACCCAAATCCGCGAGGCGAGAACCTCGCCCACCTCTCCATCATCTTTGTGTGTTTGGCTGGCTTCTTTGTTGTCCTGAGGATGTTAACGAGATACTTCCACACCAAGGCGTTTGGGGCCGACGATGCCTTGATTGTGGCGTCGCTGGTATGGATGCCTTGTCCTTTGTTCACATACTGCTTGCATGTATTGTCCAGATGAAGAGACTGACTTCATGTTGCCCGTTTGGCCTTTGTGTTTGATAGACCCTTTCTGTTTGCATGACAGTTGCTTACAATGGAGGTTCGTTTCGGCAATGTCGCTGTTCCGCTTTATTGCAGTCGCAGGCCCCAAAAGGGTCACCATTGGCTCTCATGGCTAACATCAAGAAATCTCAACAGAAGCTGGGAACGGATTCGGTCTTCACAGTGGCGAGATCAACCAAGACCACAAAGTCCTCGCCTTCAAGGTACACCGTCGGCAAACCCCTCCCGAGAACGAGCAACAACTAAGAAAGAACGTCGAGACTCTGACAGCAACAGTGGTTCTTTGCCGCCCAGATCCTCTACAAGGTCGCGACCTGCCTCACCAAGACGTCCCTCGGCATGCTATACCTGCGCATCTTCCCCGGCCGCAAGTTCCGCATCGCCGTCATCAGCGTCATGGCCATCACCGTCGCCTACACGCTGGCCGCCGTGCTGCTGACAGTCTTTGCCTGCAAGCCCATCGAAAAGTCCTGGCGCAAGACCTTGCCCGGCGTCTGCGTCAACTCCATCAGCATCTGGTATTGTAAGTTTTGATTTCAACCAGAAAAGTTTTTGGTAGTTGTCCCTCTTTTGCGTTTTGTTTGTGTATTGGCCCTCGCGCTGACTGTTGGGAAAAAAAAAAAAAAAAAAGCGACGTCTGTCTTGAACATTGTGACGGACATGCTGATTATCGGGCTGCCGGTCAACGAGATCCGACGACTTCAGTTGCCGCTGGCAAGGAAACTGCTATTCTGCGCTCTGTTTAGCCTCGGGGTGTTTGTCATTGCTTGCACGGTTATTCGAATGATTACCGTGTCGCCGCAGACGACGGCTTCGGATCAGACTTGTCAGTCCCCAACGACTGTTTACAGGCCCCCCCTTAGCTATACCCCTATTTGCGCATGCTGATGAAGAGACAGACTACCAGGCCGTATCAAACAGCTGGACGTTTGTCGAGACCAATGTCGGCATTATGTGTGCTTGTACGCCCAGCCCTTGAGCCCAACCAACCACCATGAGTGCTCTCCTCTGTATACCTCTACTTCAGTGTTAATCGAAAGATGATTGTAGGCCTCCCGATCGTCTGGGTTCCCATCACGAGGCAGTTGCTTCGATTTCTCGGTCTCGGGGGAGAAGACACCGCAATCACGAGCAAGTCTGGCCAGACGTTTACCATCGGATCGCATGGCCGTGTAAGCAGCGCATGAGCGCGGATCAGCCGCCGTGATGCCGAGGGCGACAGCGTGGAGGAGCTCATGTTTGACGGCATCAAGATGACGCGGAGATTCAGCGCGCATGTGGTCCGCGAGGACCATGGCCAGAAGGAAGCTCCTGTCGGCGACCGTCCGTGGGAGCATGTCCATAATTCGATACCTTCATAATTTCATCTCTGGTCAACTCCTCGGGTTGGCTTTGAAGATGTGAGCCTCCGAGACATAATCAGTTTCGAGCAGATGTTCTCCATCAGCAGAAGTAGAACGCCCTCCACGTTTTCGATTTATCAGAAAGGCCACTTGATGGCTTCCTTGGTTCGTCGCACTGATCTGAGCCACAGAAGAGCCGCAGACTGTCGCTATGATCTTGTATCGAATGCAACTTGTGCGGCCAGGCAAGGACATAGTTTGCTGTCTCCCACCTATATGTATCCAGGTTGAATCCGAGCTGTTTCCTCGTGCACTCAACAAGGACGTAAAGTCCTTCGGTACTCCCCACCATTTTCAAAGGACAAACAGCTGGTGGTCGATAGAATTGTTCCGACTACACATATTATCACCTTCATTGTTGAGAAAGAACTGGAAACCAGGGGAACGCGTCATCAGGGAGGTGATGCCAAGGCGATAGGGTGGAGACAATCTTGAGATAAACATGGAGAAGCTGGGGAAGTATTTTGCCCATCTCTCTACTTTTCGGGTTGGCGGAGGACGCACGTCGGTCAGATAGAGCAAAGGTGTTTCTCTGAGTGAGGGTGTATGCATAATCGCCTGTAAACGTGATGAGCGATGGTACTGTACATGGCCGAGAACGAAGTTCAAGTCATAAGCCAAGCACGGTCTGTAGCATCAAATGCATGAGTTGGACGTCGCATGGACTGGCCGCTGGAATGGAGGCTGCCATGCCGAATCCCGCCCGACGACGTGACCAACCGCCAGGATGCCAGCGACCTGAATGGCCACGGTTCGGAATCGGCAGTGGAGTTGAGTGTGTCCCTCGTCTCTCGAACGAGCAGGCCGATAGTGCAATAGATATGGAGCCGTCACTACCGAGTGCTGGGACCACGGCGGCAGTTGCTCAGGGTCCTTTTATCAAGTCCTTGGCGACAGCAGCGAGAGCCGGAGGACCATCGAGTTGATTAACAGATGCAGCTTCATGCGGAGAGAGCAAATGAATGTCGAGAAACAGACCGTGTGCCGCAGCATCGCTGCCCTACCATACGGGCCAGATAAATGCATGAGCCACCACCACGGGCTGACATGACGCTTGTGGCACCTGGTACGGAGTACGAAGCACAAAGATGCCTCTCCGCCATTTTTACCTCATGGCCGCGGTCCCTAGTAGACTGTCCTGTACTCGTATCTCGTATGTATGCATCCGGACGAGTTCGTAACTCTGCATGACTCTTTCTGGCATTCGGGCAGCTCCAGCAGCTCCAGCAGCCCGCAGCTGTTTGTCGAGCAAAGCTTCAAACGCCGACGCTGCTTTTCTATTCGCCAGTAAGCCGATGACTGATGGGAAAAAGCTGACCTTGAAGCTGCTCTCGCGTGCCGTCTAAGCCGATCGCCAGCCATCCAGTGGGACCTCGACGACGAGCCACGAGCCATGGTTGCCGTGTGCCGATTAGCAGCCCCGTTAGTGTCCAAGTTTGCGAGCAGGGACTGCGGATAGACTTCGAAAAGAGCCGCTAGAAGCGTGCTGCTGTGAGGGCGAGGCGCGAGGTCGTTTGTGCTAGTATTGTCCATACTTGGTAGTCCGCAGATGAAGAAGACTGTAAGCTGATACCGCCAAACAAGTCTGCAGACAGTGTCTATCCTCAAAGTTGCGTCAGTAGCTATTCATCGTAGAGACGTGCATGTGTGTATGACAACATGAAAACTAGCAAACTAGGCATGCAGCTGAAAAAGGACGATGCAACGCTCTTGATGCCGCCGTGTTGGCCAGTGGAGAGACGGACGGCCGGCGAGCGGCGTGACGGACGAACTCGCCACTAGGGATGAGCGGACAGGAAGCCGATTTTGCCGTTGAGGAGCAGCACAAACGACGGAGACTTTGGGGCCGCACAGCAGGAAATGGGAAACGGTTGGGACAAGGGAAAAGTAGAACATGAGGCATCATGTATCGACATGTGAGAATGTCAGTAGCAAGAAGGCCTGCATCCACACCCCAAAGCCTGAGCTTGAGCTGGAGAGAGAGTCAGCGACAGTAGTAGATTCACGCAGTCGAGAAGTAGAGCTGATGGCTGGCACCTTCAGATGAGAAGATAGAAGTGGCAGCATAGGTACCTATAATAAGGCGCTGAGTTGTATTCCTGTCTGGTCGATGGCTGTCAACTTCCACGATGCCGCACCAAAAGCGATGGCCCCGGGATGTGTCTTGTATCCGCAACCTCCACGGATCTTCGATCAGAGCGGAGAGATAGGCGCCGCCTGATGCTGCGACACAAGTACCGTCTACCGCCTCCATCCAGCCATTGAGGCGCAGCAGCTCTCGAGTGTGACAGTCGCGATACTTGCATCCACTCGCATGAAAGGGCCTTTCGCAATGTATCCGAGAAGCGTTGCAATGCCAAGTGCGCCGTTCGCCAACCTGAGGTTGCAGGTTTCCAGGTTGGAGGGCTTCGGCTACCAGAAGAAAGTACCGCCCAGGTACCGCCGGTCCCAGATTGCGACCCGAAGACTTGGTCGCTCCGGAGCATCTCGTCCAAGTCTTCCCCTCTGTTCTCCAGCCATTACCGCGGCCCAAGGTACGGCCCAGGTCGCCCGGCTGGCTGCAGTACCTGCGGAGTACCTGCCACCGCCTGTAGACCCAGAGCCTCCAGCGCCCTCAGTGGACGGCAGCCGCTGGAACAGCCCCAGAAGTCCCCCAGAACCCCCCCGAAAGGGCCCCCGAGCCCGCTAAGGCAGCGCCCGCACTCCCCCCAGACGCCGCCATCCCGTCCCTGCGTCTGCGTTGGCGTCTTTTCGTCCGCCTTGCCTTGCATCTCGTCTTTTTCTTTTTTTCTTCCCTCCCTCTTGTCTCTTCCTCAGCCAGCCATCAATCTCTTCAGCCTCGGCCGGCCATTTCCCCTCCGCTGCCTCGTTGCACTGTCCGACTGGCCTCGCCGGCCTCCAACGTCGCCCCTCCTCCCTCTCTCTCTCCCTTCCCGAATCGAGAGACTGAGAGCGAAGAGCGTCGTTCCGCCTCGTCGCTCTTCCGGCTCGGGCTCCTCCCTGTCTGATCGATGGTCATGAGCGACGACGAGAAGGCCGCTGCCACTGGCGGGGTGGCCGAGATGTCGCCCAATGCCTCTCGCCCGTCCATCGTTGACGACACGATCAAGGACGTTGATTCGGTAAGGACGCCTCAGCAACGGCAATTCCGCTTGTTTCTGCTTTGCGCCGGCTATATTCATGTTGGTGGTGGTGGCGGCAGTGGTGCTTTGCTGTTGTCTCCGCGGCGTGGGCTGTATCTCAAGTCGAGACGCAGTAAAGCATCACCGCCAGGGTTTGGAGATGGAACAATGAGACGAGTGGCTACGGGTTCAACGATTGCAGTAGCACCATCGTTCGCCTCTGTTCGCTCTTGATACTTCCGCCTTGCTTCTCCCGACGTTGTTCTTCAACATCTCCCTCAACCCCCCCTCCCCCCCTCGGTATCTTTGCCTGTTTTTTGCCTGAATGGCCTCACATGAAAACTTCTGCTCCATTCAGCTTCCTCGATGAATTGCGACTCGGCGCTGACTCTTTCGTGCCCGCCCTTTTCAGGAGCCCTTTTCCTACGACGAAGACGATCGCGACTACTGCTCGCCGCAAAACACCACCGAGCACGACCTCAACGTCACCGAAGATGACCTGCTCGAGGCCCAGGAGCTCGCCTCCCGATTCACCCTCCAGGAAGTCCGCGACATCATGACTAGAGTCTACCGCGTCCACGAAAAGGATCACAACTTCCCGTCCATCATCATCCACAAGATCAAGGCCTTTCTTGAAAACGAGTCCGTCTTCTCGAACCCCGAGAAGCACCAGCACTTGATCCAGGAAATGAAGCTAGAAGCCGCCCTCGTCACCAGCAACAGCCCGTACGCCGAGGTGCGCGCCGTCGTCAGCAACAAGGACGATCCCACAACGCCCTGCTCAACCATCCGCAGCTGGGCCATTGGCCTGGCCTTTAGCTGCCTGCTGGCCTTTATCAACCAATTGTTCGACATTCGCCAACCTGCCATCCGCGTCATGGCCAACGTCGCCCAGCTGCTGTCCTACCCCGTGGGCAAGGCCTGCGAGAACTGGCTGCCGGACATCGGCTTCACCTTTTTTGGCACATACCACTCCCTCAACCCCGGGCCCTTCTCGAAAAAGGAACACATGCTCATCACTATCATGGCGAACGTGGCATACAACACACCCTACACGAACAACATCATCTGGGTCCAGTATCTGCCCCAGTATTTTAACCAGCCCTATGCGTCCCATGTGGCCTACCAGCTTCTCATTGCCCTGGCCACCAACTTTATCGGATACGGCATGGCGGGCATCTGTCGCCGCTTCCTGGTCTATCCGTCGTACTGCGTGTGGCCGGCCTCTCTGGTGACTATTGCCCTCAACAAGGCCTTCCACAACGAGGCCAATGCCCCGGTTGAGGGCCCCTTTGGCAAGAAGTGGAAGATTTCTCGTATCAAGTTCTTCTACATCATGTTTGGCGCCATGTTCGTCTGGTTCTGGTTCCCCAACTACATCTTCACTGCCTTGTCCAGGTTCAACTGGTTAACCTGGATCGCCCCCCACAATCGCGACCTCAACGTCATCACGGGCATCAACCATGGCCTGGGCGTCAACCCATTCCCGACCTTTGACTGGAACGTCTTGCTGTGGGACTCGGCCGACCCCCTCATGGTTCCTTTTTACAGCACGCTGAACCGATTCTTTGGCGTCTTCGTCTCCTTCTGGGTGGTGCTGGCCTTCTGGTACAGCAACGTATACGACACCGGCTATCTTCCCATTAACAGCAACCGGGTATTCGACCACTTTGGCAAGCTGTACAACATTAGCCGCGCCGTCGACGACCGGGGGCTGTTCAACGGCACAGAGTACAAGACATACTCGCCGCCCTTTCTGAGTGCCGGCAACATTGTCATTTACATGTTCTTCTTCGCGATTTACACCTCGACGCTGACCTATGCCGTTCTCTACCACCGCCACGAGATCCTCATGGGCTTCAAGTCCCTCTTTGCCAGCTTCCGCAAGAAGACCAGCCCGATCAAGGACGAAAAGATCCTCGACGTCCACAACCGGCTGATGAAGGCATACCCTGAGGTGCCAGAGTGGTGGTACTTGATCTGTCTCTTAGTTGCCATTGCATTAGGTATCGCTGGCATAGCCGGGTGGGATACGAATACGTCTCCCGGCGTTGTGTTTTACGGCCTGGCGCTCTGCATCGTCTTTGTCATTCCCGTGGGCATCATTAAGGCCATGACGGGCATCGAGGTCACCCTCAACGTGCTGGCCGAGTTCATTGGCGGATCCTGGGTCGACGGCAACGCGCTGGCCATGAACTACTTCAAGTCGTTTGGCTATGTCACCTGCGCACACGCCGTGTGGTTCTGCAACGATCTCAAGCTCGCCCACTACGTCAAGATCCCCCCTCGCCACACCTTCATCGCGCAGATCATTGCCACCTTTATCAGCACCGTCATCTGCACCGGCGTTCTCAACTTCCAGATGAAGGGCATTGACGGCGTCTGCACGCCCGATGCCCAGTTCAAGCTCACCTGCCCCGGCGTCAACACGTTCTTCACTGCCTCTGTCCTTTGGGGAACGGTTGGTCCGCAGAAGATCTTTGGCCACTCCGGACAGTACACGGAGATTTTGGTCGGATTTCCGCTGGGCATTCTTGTGGTTGTCTTCTTCTGGGGGCTGAACAGGAAGTTTCCCCAGTGGACCTGGACGCGACAGATCCACCCCGTGGCCATCATGTACGGCGGAATTGTGTGGGCGCCGTATAACATGTCGTACGTGTGGCCGTCTGTGCCGATTGCATGGATCTCCTGGGTCTACCTCAAGACTCGGTTTGTGTCCTTTTGGTCCAAGGTAAGCAGCTCTCTGTCAACTCCACACAACGGGTTCCGGTTACTAACGGAAGGCAGTACAACTTTGTTCTCTCAGCGGCCTGGTCGTGCGGCATCGCCATCTCGGGCATCATCATCTTCTTTGCCCTGCAATACACCGACGTTGAGTTCCACTGGTGGGGGAACATGGCGTCTGACATGGGCTGCGAGGGCCAGGCGTGCACACTGAAGCATCTTGCGCCGGGCGAGTACTTTGGGCCACGGATTGGCACATTCGACTGATTAAAATGGTGCGATTGTGTATTTGGTTTGCTTTGGTTTTTCTCACTCATCTTCGTACGAGTGCATAGCTGTTTGACACTCGGCGTCGGAGTTATCAGTGGAGTTTGGGAGAAGCATCACATGGCGGGAACTGTTACAAAGCATGTTGGTCTGGTCAACATTTTCATATCTTTTGTTTTCACATGCTTCAATTTCTTGCTTATTTCTGGTTATGCCATGTTGGAAGGATACGGGATGAGTTATACCCCTATGTTGAACTGATGGGAACGAGACGACTGAAACGACGCTTCTGCGAGAAGATGCCCGGGCGAAATAGAAATGTGTATCAATGCGCGCCTACAGCGCGAGACATGGGCTATGATGGAGTTTGGGTACAGTGTAGGTTGGACGACGGATCGATGCTAGAAATACAGTTTCAATCACTTGCGATGTTGCATCAGTGAGATGTGTTTGGTAGAGATGCGCTCTCTATGTCGTCTTGAAGCCATAAAGCTCATCTATTGGGGCAATGGAGTGTCGAAGAGGACGCTTGAGTACACGACTGGAGGCTCATCTAGAAGGTATCAAGCATCGATGAGGGAGTGCAGAGCTATGATCTTGACTGTTCTTCCATGGACAGGCAGATTGGAGCGAAATCAAGAGACGCCCAGCTGGAAAGGAGCCATCGCGATGCTCCCTGTAGGTTAATACCTAGTAGGCGGGCACCGAGTTCAAGACTGGGCCACAGAGAAGTGACAGTGACAAGGCCGCAAATCATTCCTCGCCGACAGATATGTACCCTAGCATAATCAATGTACCTGATTGAGCAGGACGCAAGAACAATTGACTTTTAAGAACTAAATCATCAGAAAAAGCAGGAAAAAAGGGCAAATCACGGCTTTATACAAGAACAGATCCAAACCCGTACCGAACATTACTTCAACGTCCAAAGAGTATCACGTGCCCACTCCCGTGACACCCCACCTCCCCAAACTTGAAGCTTCAACACCTGCTCACGATCGACATCTCCAAAAAAGTCGCCAAACCACCCAACGCCAAAAGCCCATCAGCAACACCTCGCCCAATTCCTCTCAGGATTCCTCTTTTTGTCTTTTAGGGAAAAAAGCAACTCAAACTGCCCAACATGTCCGGGGGCGCCAAGGCAATCCGTCTCCCCCCGCTCAAAACGCTGCGCGTCCACAATCCCAAGCGACAGCCCGAAAACCCTTGCATCGCCATCATGTCCAGCGTCCTCGGTATGTTCCCCATTTGGTCCTCCTGATCTCCCTCCCAAGAGATTATGAAAAGGAAATAGAACAGAAAACAGAAAAGAGCAAGTTTGCTAATCTACGTGTACGTGGGTGTGATTAGCATGCTGGGCCTCAGCAGGATACAACGCCGCCGGATGCGCCGCCATCGAGAACCAGCTGCGCAAGTGCATGGATGGCCCGCCGCCTCCGCCTGCGCCCGCGAACACGATTAACTACCACTTGTCGCGGATGCAGAAGTACGTCACCAGTCCGAAGAAGCAGAGGTAAAAAAGACGCAGAAAACCGAATCATGGTACCTGGAACGAGCAAAGAAAGGCTTTTGGGTTGGGGGAGGAAAGGGTTTCTGCTGCAAGAGCAAGAGACCTTTTGTATGAGAAAGAGATGGCGGAACCCGGGGATTCAGCCGTCGGTATACGTGCGCTTGAACCGAAGCTTTGACCTGGAAGCACGATCTGGAGGAGAGCGAGTAGAAACGGGACCGAAGTTTTCGAATGAGGATGGAAGAGCAGCGCTTTCTCTCGAACAATGGGCGGGAAAGGTGTCGCCGGAAAACATGGTGCGCACGGAATATCGCAGCACAGCACGCCAGCGGACAAAAAAAAATCTGGACGATGCGAAGCGAAGCATGACGACGCCGGAAAGTTGGGAGGGGAAAAAAGCAAGCAAGCAGGGCCAAAAGGAGAGGGAGTCTGTTTTCACAAAAGGCGTTGAGGCAATTGGGAAAAGAAACGCTTGGCGATATCAAGAGTACAAAGTTAAGAATGTACAATCTCACGGACTTTCTGGACAAAGAGGAGTGTCTATATACAACATACAATGTACAAACGGGGGTGTGTTTGATCTAAAAGAGCAAGGTGGGAAGAGGGCGGGGGGACTATAGGGGGGATGGAGTGTTGTCGTGTATGAATAGTAGATGTAATCAAAGACCTTTTGAGAATGATCAACATCTTCCCACAAACTGTTTATCGTGTAGGGAGGAAAGGCAGTCTAACTGGTGCCTTAACTCAAGTACAAGTTACGATATATCCCATGTCCGGACTGAAGTATAATACTTGACGAGCTCACACAGCATCGCCTCACAGAATACATTCACATGGCAAAGCAGCGAAGGAACAAGCAACACATCCCATCAACCATCTCTGTTTGCACTGTCCTCCCCTCAGTCTATCCAATACTACCTAGTCACCAAAAAAACACATCCAACGGGAAAAAGACGCCCCCATCATCTCAACTGGAAAAGCAGGACAAAAAAGCAAGAATAAAAAAAAAACTCAAGAAACTTTGATACTAACCAACAAGAAGGTCCAAAACGAAAGCGCGCATGAAACAAGGGCAAACAAAAAAGAATAAGTCACCCGCCCAACAAGGAAAGGAAAGGGGTAAAGAAGAAGGGATAGGAGAGGTGGAGAGGAGAAAGAAAGCCGGCAGATGAAAAAGCGAATGGCCTTTCTCTTGTTCTTCTTAGAGTCCTCCCGTCTTTGTTCCACTAGCGCCTTATAATCCCAAGATAAACAGAAAATGATGGTAAAAAACAGGGAATATCGATACTTCTGTTATTCTCAACTCAACATGGTGTATTCCCAGATAATAGTAAGAGTAAAGAGAAGAAAACAGAGAAATGGTAAGGAAAGGTAGAGGGAGCGTATCGGTGAAACACCGTCCAGTATAGCTTGTTCTCGCTAACTCTGTTCTGATGCATCTTGTAACAAATGCCGGCGGTGTTGTAAAGGAGGTTGCAACTTCCATGAAATAAGCCAATCTTTGCATGTTTTTGCTTCAGTTTGCCTCTTCTCTTCTTCAAAAGCTCAAGCCTAGCGGTTGCGGTTTGCAAAACGGAGGAATAAAAAGGGGCCATCGGCAACGGGGAGAATAGTGCGAAGGAATGACCAAAGTGGGAAGTGTCAGGATAATAAATTCAATAAGTAAAACTGGTCATGATCGCACATGTCGTGTGGTGTCGTGTCTATATGATGAGGTATCTTTTGTTGGGGGCCTTGAACCGTCGTCAATATGATGGCAACTCGTGCCTCTCTAAGGTAAAAAGAAATGAAAAAAGAAACAGAAAATAGGACTGGGCTATGCAATGGCTTTATACACCAAAACCACGCGAATGCTCTTTGGCAGCCTGTGGATAAAGTATGTTTCCGGTCCCGGCAGTTGCTCCGTCAATAGGTAGATAATAAAAGGGGGGGCGCACGTTGTTCCAGAGGGAAATGCTTGAAGCGCGATCTCGGCTCAAGGCGCCATTTCGCCGACGCAGAAGAGCTCTATCTCTCCTACGCCAGGGTTGAACGCGTTCTTCATGCCGTCTCGGAACTCCATAAAAGCAATCTGAATGTCGTCGTCGCTCTCGATGGTGACAAAGTCCTCGTCCTCGTCCTGGTAGCGTAGCTTCAACTGGCCCTGCGCAATGCTGCTGCTCGTGAACCTCGCTAGCTTGGCATCGATCCGATCAACGAGGGACTGGTACGTAATGTTGAAGGCTACAACAAGCGTGACGTAGTTTCCAGTGTCGCAAGTGACACGGACCTTGAGCTGCGTCGGCATGGCCACGTCGGGGCTCGTGAGCGAACTGCTCTGAGTTGGGTTCTGTGGCATGCCCGGCATGTTCGGTATTCCTGCGCCCATAGTCGAAGGCATCATGCCCTGCGGAATCATGCCATGATGGGCAAGCATGCCTTGAGAGAGGGCGGCGGAGGGCGATACGGTCCTTGAGCCCGCCGTTCCGTTGGCGCCAATCGCGGGTCCTGGCGTGTTCTGTCGAGGATAGATGGGTTGGGTAGGGAATTGGGCCATGGTACCGCCCATACTGCCCGAGTGAGAGTGCTTGTGCACCCGTATGCCTTGAGCGCCGGGGCTCTGCGTATTCGTCCGTCCTGGCGCATCGTTTCGAGGGGAGCCGGTCTGAGATCTCGGGATGGAGCTGTCGTGGGCGGGATGGTGGAGATGTGCGGGAATGCCGGGGACGGCGGGAATGTTGCTCTGGCTGGGCTGGCGACGCTGGCCCTGGGCATTCACATCGGGTGTGCTGTACGAGCGGCTCCTTTGCGATCCGTTGGCGGCAGCGGCGGCGGCGGCAGCAGCAGCAGCGTTGCTGTCCTTGAGGCTGAGATTATTGAAGTTGTTCAGAGCATTGAGGGCGTTGAGGTTGTTGTTGTTATTGTTGCCCTGGGTCGACATGGGAGGAAGAGAGGGCCCACGAGGATTTCGCCCATTCGGATAGGCGTTGGGGGGTGTACCGTCCCGAGACGGGGCACGGGGCATCGCCGGTGCGGTGTAGCGATTGTTCTCGTCCCATCCGGGCTGGGGCGTCCCTGCCTTGGGGAACGGGTAGCTGGTCGGCGGGAACATGCCGCTGGTCGTGCTGGTTCGAGAAGATGCAGGCGAGTCACCAATGGGGGAGAAGTAGCTGTCTCCTCCGCGGATTCCCGGCGAGGGAATGGACATGCTGCTTGCGGTCTGTAGACTAAGCGGAGCTACCGGGGGCGGTGGTGGCATCGGCATCGGGAATCGCGGCGGAGGGGCCCTCGCGATGCTGGCCAGAGTCGCGGACGTCTCTGCCGTTACCGAGCGCTGCCTCAACTCTCTCAGGTTGGTGCTCGAAGCAGTACGGGGGATCGCTCCTCCGAACGAAGACGCCGGCATCGGGAACTGGGCGGGAGCGGTCGCGGGTCCAATGTCGTCATCATCATCGTCTTCCTGCTGCAGATAAGGGTTCTCAAGCCCGCCGGCATTGTCTCGCGTCCAAGCAAAGTCGGTTGGGTCGTCTGCTGGGCTTGAGGCCAGCCGGGGCGCATTCTCCTTACGCTGCGTCTCCAGGCCGTTGGCCCACTTCTTCATCATCTCCTCAGTGAGGAACTTGATGGTGAAATTCTCAACCCCCGGGTCGCCCTTCCACCAGATCTGAACGCTATGGGAGCCTGAAGCCGGGAAGGGAGTAAATGTCAGCGAGTGCCGTAGCAAAGAGGCGAGGGTAGTCACGAACCAGGCTTTGACAATGACACGACGTCGGTGACGTTGGTCATGAAGATTCTGCCCTTGAGTTGCAACTTAGCATTCTTATTCTTCGTCTTTGGGCCTTGCTGTCGGGCCTTGTCCTTCTTGTCCTTGCTCTTGTTTGGCGATATTTCCTTGCAGCACAGCAAGATGCATTCGAAGAGGTAGATCTCATACTGTAGGCTGCGTTAGCTCTCTGCCAATACAATCAAGGGATGAGGAACCGCGGCTGTACGTACGTCCTTCTCTTGCTCACTCTTGCCAGTGATGACGCCGTAAATACCGTGCAATAGCAGCTTTCCAAACGATTCGATCTTGTGCGATTTCCAGTCGTCGACTCGGACAATGAGTTCTTCCAGCGCATCATCGAGAAGGTCGCGGTTAACGGCCTCGTTTGCTTTCTGAAGAACGCGCTCGGCAGCCTCGCAGCCGGCGAGAAGATCCTCCTTTGTCTCCTGCTCTTCCGTCTTCTTGGCAAGATCCTGGACATACAGTTAGCATAGGAAAGCGGCGCAGATGATCCAAGTCACGTACCTTGAGCAGCAGCGGATACTTGACCAGTCGCTGCATGGGCTTCAGCAGGAAACCGTCCAGTGTGTTGAAGTCAGCGGCGACAGGGTGGTCGGACTGCTGGATCTGGTCAAAAACTTCTTTGGCGACCTGCGCCGCTTTTCGCTGGTTGGCAATGAAGGGCTGGTAAATGCTGAAGAACTCCTCGTGCGTGACAAACGGCTGGCCCCATCGCTGGGTGGCGGCAGGCATAGAGTTGGTGGTCTCGACTCGGATCAGGAAGCGGCGCTGAAAGTCCAGGATGGAATTGATGTTGAGGAAGATCTGGTGGACGACGTCGCCGGGAATCACGCCCTTCTGCTCCAGGGCCTTTTTCAGGTCGTGCAGGTTCTCCAAGTCCTGAACATATTTGCGTTCGGTGTCGACAAGCTCCTTGACGACGTGGTCTCGATAGGTCATCTTTGGGCCGTCGCCGGCCTCGACGGGCCCGCCATCGGGATACGGCTGCAGCTGAAGGAGATGCCCGCGCTGTTCCGCGAGGTCCAGGACGTAGTTAACGACTTGAGTAACCTGAAAGACAAGAAGACGTCAGCACAAAGTATAAAAAAAAAAAAGAAGTGCAAAAGCACCAGCAGCGCGTGTTTACCTTGACGAAACCGCTCGTGTCGTTGCCCATCAGATCCGTAATCACGAAGCTGTCGGAGGGCGGCACCTGGAGCTCCTTCATGCAGGCCTGGACAAACTTGAAAATGGCAATCTTGGACTTTTTGGAGTCGGAGGCATTGGCATCGTCGACGCTCAGCGGCTCGGCCGGCTGGAGCGAGTTGTAGATGAGCAGGAGAGGATAGCCGGAGCGGAAGAGGTTCCAGAGGGGGTCAACTGGATCGGTCGGGTCGAGGTTCTCGAGGAAGGGCTCGAAGCCCGGCACCTGGGCCAGGCGCTGCTTGAGAGAGATGCATATCTGGTAGAGGGATCGCGAGGCGTCGGCCTTCTGGTTGATGATGTTGCTCGTGGCCACAACCGGGCCATTGGCGACGACAGTCATGTCGCTGTTGAGGGTGGTGAGCGACGTTGAAGATCCAGCATAGGTTGATCCAGACAGCTGGCTAGTGCGCGGCGCACTGCTGCTCATACTTTGTTGCGGTGGCAGAGTGCCCACGCCGTTGGGATGAGACTGGAAGACCGGGGCCGTGTTGGTTCTGAGCAGGGGTGCATGGGCCATGACCTCTCTACTCCATCCGGGCCTGCAGCTGGCAGTGGTCGAGGGCGAGGGCGAGGGCGGAAGGTCGAGGTCAGGGACGACGAGCGTGAGAAAGTCGGGGACGGGGTTCGAAGGTGAGAGACAGCCAGACAAGAGGAGACAAACAGGGGGGGTGTCCCAGGCCGAAGGCGGGGGTTTAGCGAACGAGTTTCTTGCGGAAGACTGTCCGTGGGCTGCGGATCCTGAGCGAGCACGGATTCACGTCATTTAACGCGAAGGGGCCTTGTCTCGACGGATTGCTGCTGTTGCTGCTGCTGCTGCTGCTGTTGTTGCTGTTGTTGCCTGCAGCTGTCTTGCGACCTCTCGGTCCTGCGTCCAGCGGGTGCCAGGGGAGCGAGTCTCTTGTAGCGGCAGCTGGTCTGGTGGCGGGCGAGACGTGGGGAGGAGAGCCTCACGAGCCGTAGTTCAGGTTGGCCGGCTACGGGGAGGCTGCGTTTCGAGTCTTGACGAGGCTGTCGAGAGAGGTAGGTGGTTTTGGAATTGCGATTTGCCGGCGACGATCGAACGACGTGTGCGTGTGAGCGTGATTGTGTGCGTGTGTGTGTTGTCGTATCAGTCGAGTCGGGGGTGCGTGATTCGGCTCGCAGTCTATACGCTCTATCTCTTCTCTAGGCCTGCGGCGTCTAACGAACGGGTCGTCTACTCTCTCTTCTCTTCTCTTCTTCTTTTCTCTACTCTATTCGCAGCGGCTCGTTGCAGGCGAAGCGATTCAGTGTCGCGCACGGCGCCAGTCTCCAGTTGTCGAGACGGCTTTGAAATGCGGGTGGGGGTTGGACAGTGTCAGGATGCAGAAGCAGACGGGTATTATCGAAGAGGCGCCACCCCTGGCTGTGGCTCTGGAGGGCGGCGATGGTCGTTTGTTAGCAGCAGTCTTGCGATCTGCCGGTCGGATATTATGCAGTCGGTGTGCGGGGATGCTGTCCAGTGTGCACGAGGAGCACGCCGAGGCTGCAGAGGCAGCAGGATCAGGAGGCGAAAGGGGGCGGGTGTGAACTGAGCTGCAAGAGAACAAAAAGAGAGGCTGTCGAGGACGACTCGACGGGACGGAGCAGGCCAGACGCTGTTATGGAGTACCTCGATGCGCGGCTGGGGGCGGTACCGGCAGCTGCGCGGTGTGGTGTGCAGATACTCAGCACCAGGTACCAATCAGCAGCGGGCATCGGTCTAGTTGATCTACAGGCGCTGAGGGGGGCTGCCAAATGGGGACGATTGGGGCGCTCAGGGCGGTTTAGCGCTGCTGGGCTTGAAATCAGGGGGTTCAACCGGGGGGGCTGCAGAAGGGGGGATGGATGGATGGGGGGGAGGGGGCGCTTGGGACCCTTTTTTTTTCTCTTTTTTTTTCTTCGCTTCTTCTGTCTGCCGTTCTTGTTCCCTTTCTGCGGCGGTCCGAGAAATCGCCATCGTCTTCCCCCTCCTCTGCTCCAGTAGTATGTACAGTATGATCAGTATCGGTTGAGGTTCCGTTTCTCTGCCCGAACCCTCCAGCGATGCGGATGGTTGGAACCCCCCAGAACCGGCTGCCAGTGTCTTTGACCAGACGGCCAGCATTTTCGCCACCATGGCAGCGGCAAAAGTCGTCGCATGGATGTACCTCTACTCGGCAGGACCCAGCAGGCTTCTGGCAGGCTGCAGCTGGCGCCCATGAGCCCAAGTACCGCTACTCAATGGCGGCATGCACAACCGAAGGCTCTTGCTTCTGTGCCCCCCCCAGTCGCTGCATGTTTCACAATAGCCAGAATTGGCGCTACCCCCGGAATGGCTAGACGCAACTGGAGCCACGAGAGGAGGGAAATTGACCATCATGCCTCTTTTCATGTTGCTCTTGTCATGCCACAAAGGAACAAGCATGGGACGGGCACAAGCTGGGGAGAAAGCCGTTCGTTTGGTTTGATGATGGCGATACAAAAGCCGCTGCCGATGTGCACCAGCGGAAGCACTCGTCCGTTGACTAGAGTGGCCGGGGGCGTTGGTATGACGAACTACCTTACCTTGGTGTTGATACTGAGCGCTACTGGTTCGTGCTGGACGACTAACATTGAATACCACAACACCACCAACAGATGATGGTGCTCAGCAGCGTTAACAGAATAGGTTGCGCCAAACGACACTGAAGCAGTGAAGCGTGTTTTGCTGCCTTCTCACATGCTCTCACATGCTTCTTGCCGCTGTTTCAGTCGCACAAGCCGGCGGCTGCTGGACCAACAAGACCAGGCGAGGTCGCATCCCGTCTGCCCCGAGTCTCAGCACCGCCCACGCGGCCATCCCCCATTGTCACCTACACGAGGCAAGATCCGTGCATCTGGCTGCGATCAAACGGACTCTTGCTGGTGTTTCTTACTTGATAGGTATGAAGCGGCCCCTTTGGGATCGGTGGTGCTTCCTACCGCTTCAGCCTGGCCATTTCCATAGCTGGGCTGGGTACATACTTGGACGAAGGGCCTCTCTGCCTGGCGCCATTTGATTGATGCTCGCCAGTGTTCACGGGATGCACTATTATCTCATGATGGGTGCGGGTAGACGCGGTGGCTGGCGGCCGGCTTTTGGGCGTTGCAATCAATTTGCTGCAACAATGCCGACTGATTCCCCCGTCGCCATATGCAGCGTCTTCATCATGCTCCGTAGGTTCTCTACCCTTGCTGCCATGTGTGCCAAAGTACATGCTCCATACGTCAGTACGATACATGGACCTACCTTATCCGGGAAACGAACATTTGAGACCTGAAGCGTCTTTGTCATGCGTTGAGCAGCTATCGGCGGTCTAGGCACCGGGGCAGCAAGGCGTCCATTGCTCGCTGCTCGAGGCTTGCGGTGCTCATAACTACCTTACCTTATTAGTATTCGGCGCCACGGACGCCGGAATCTGGGGATCGTGAAAGGTTTAAACGATGGCAGCGCTATATAAGGGCGAGCATGGCAGCCTTGAGGATTGCACATGGCAAACACAGGGCACAAAGTCTGATTCAAAGCCGTTTGTCGCTTCAAGCATAAACACGCAGTTTCTCTGTCTCTCTCTATCGTCAGAAACGCCGACTCGATTTAACGTCTTCCATAAGAAACTTGAAGGTGAGAGAAGCCAAGGTAGAAAAGGAGGCATACCGTCTGCAATACGGACCGGCAACTCAAAAAACACACACGCAAAATTCTGCTCGGAGAAATAGACCCTGGCAATTTCATATCGAAGCTCGTCACTTTTCACATTTCAAGCTGCTGCAGGGACGTGGAACTGTAGTCCATGTACTCCGTACTTGGCAAGCCATGGCTCTACACACCCGCTTAAAAGGAACAACACAAGTCGGTTACCCTGGCGAGTTGAGAGCGGACGGACTGACTGGACCTGTTGAAAGCCGAACATGCTGCTACTCCGTCCCAGCAAGTACGCGTACATCATCCGTACTGCAAGTCTGTCGATACGGCTGACTCTGGACGAACTCGGCCAAATCTGACTTACTACTACAATGCTTGAACGCCTACTCCAGACCCAGCATCATCAGCCTCCTTTCAGCTCACGACCGTCGACACATGGTAGTACGCTGGTTAACCGCTGGCATCAGGCTGCACCTAGCGCCTCGTTTGAAGCCCAGGGATTCTGCTCCGTACATGGAATCTGGTCACATGCGTGATGCTTTTTGTGGACTCGCAAACAAATATTACGTCGACGGTGGCACTATCGTGGGCTCTGTTTTCTTTTGGCGACGGCGGTGAAGGACCAGACGACTTGCTCACCGTCACAAACAAGTCAAACAGCCACCCCAACTTCGACCAAAATTGATTGCCATGAGCCAGCTGAAAGATGCCGACTGACGTCAATGGACATGTCCTGTGTCCCAAGTCGTGGCCAATGGCCTCAAGACGGACGCTAGATTCAACAGAAAAAGGAAGAAGAATAGATAGTCAGAGGCACCCCGGTGAAGAGCTGAATCCAGGGGTGCGGTTTACTACCACCTTGGGTGCAACACCACCACCATCCGTACTGTAGGGCTGAGCTGCATCGGCCACTCATGTAGCTAAGCTTTTAGAACCGTGGCCGTCAATGCGACCCGGCGACGAGAGGCGCATGTCCGGAGCGTTTCTCCCAGCGAGACGGTGGTTGAGCTGAGTCCTGGTCAATACGTTATAGCCAATCAGACGGAGCGCGTCTACGAAGTAGTAGCTGTCCAACCGTTCCAATGTCTGGATATGTATGATGCTGCCGAACATTTGTGTTGGTGGTGGCTTGGCCTTCAATACCAGACCGACGAGATGCAGTTGGTTGACTGGAATTTGCGAGCTGAATGAGTCACGTGCCTCTCATATACGCAAGCTTTCCAAGATAGAGCTACCAATACGTCTATATAATTGCTGAGAGAGATCTGATTGTTGCGAGTCCGACTACATCAGCCGTCTCAAGAACAAATGCTGTATGCAAGGCCGAGCGAGGATCTCGTGTTTATCGGTTGGGTATGGAGCAACTTTGATTAGGCGCATAGCTGATGAGCCGTGGAGAACCTGAAGACTCGGCAGCTCATTCGTCAGAAGGATAACTCAAGTGCCGAAACGTTGTTGGTAATCAAATGTTTCGAATCGAAGATACTGGCGCCCGCAATGTACTGCTAGACTGCACCTTGGAAGCACTGATATGTGATATCGCGAGTGTGGCAAAGAGATGGAGGTGCTCCCGCTCGATTACGTGAATCACTTGCAGCTCGGAGATCGGAGGAGTTATTATGCCCATTGCCGGACATGGAGATCCTTTCAAGTCATCAGTTGAACTCGTCTGCTCTTAACAAGGTCCTCCAGCACGTCGGATGTAAGTATGTACATGTACCTTCAATGCGAGACCCCCTCGCCCGTGAACAGCACCGAGCCTTTGGATCCGTCTTACCTGCAATCAGCACACGCATCAGCGCTAGAACCGCCCGTGATCACCGAGACAAGGGCTCATTGTTCGAGAGCATTCTCCTAGCCTCATGTCGATAAGCCTCTCAAGCATCGTCCCTTATCGAAACGGTTAATGCCTTTCCTACTGCGAGCGCTGCCTCGCCTGCGACATCAGGGGCTGCCGCTTCCAGGTTCAGGTTCCAGGTTGTTATCCTTCTACCTTAGTGCCCGCCTCTCAGCTGGAGCACTACTACCTTAAAGCGGCGGATCAGCCGGTCGCCGCCATCACGGTTCCGCGCCAGTCTGTCGCCGCAGTTACCTCGCCAGTACCGGCTGTCCTCTGCCGTCCAGCGGGCAGCTCCCAGTACCCTGCTGGTAGCCCCAGCCCGCTGCGGCGCTGCTGACCGGAATCATTGAAGCCCAGGACCCCCCGCCCCAAAGCGGCGCCACGGCACTTGCACAACTGGGCACATAGCGCTGGGCTGGGCTGGGCTGGGATATGGATCCGGCCTCTACTGTAACCTCCCACTGAACCAACAGCACCCAGTGGAGGACAGCCCTGGAGGCCCATCCCCGCCGCCGGGAGCCTCTGCTTCCCGTGCAACCTGGACGCTGGGCTGGATCCTCCCATCCATGCAACTGCATCCAGGCTGCAGCGCGACGATTCGCCTCGACCGACCCGTTTGCCTTTCGTCACCGTCGTCCTGTCCTGGCTGCCACTGGACGGCCACATCGCCACTGCTCACCAATCCGCGCCCCATCTGGCCTCGCCATTGGCACCCAAACCCCCGGCATCGATATGGGAGTTTGCGCGGCCGTCTGGCTCTCAGCGCTTCGCAATCCGTCAGCCGTATCGAGCGACAACCAAGGCACCCGGCCGTGATAGCTTCACTTTACCCGTGGGCGAGGCTGAGCCCCGACTCTACACATGTCGCGAGACAACCTGCCATCCGCCATGGGCCCCTTCTCGCCTGCCCACCAGCCTGACGAGGGCTACTCCGAGGATCCTCTGGGCACCACTGGGCTGGCCGACCAGCTGTCTGCGCTGGCGTCGCTCAAGTCCCCCCTCGAGCTGCCGCAGTGGCTTGCTGCAAACGCCTCCATGCTCCCAGTTTCCGTCAAGTCCAGTGAGTGCTCCTGAATTCTAGGCTACATGTGCCCTGCGCTGCTTGCTATGAGCTTAACCCCCCTGACTCGCCGTTGCTGCAGAGCTCGCCATGACGTTGCTGGACCAGCTTCCCACCTCAGCCATCGTCGAGATCGTCGAGCGCCTGAGCCCGCGACTGTACATCGACTTCATCCGACACCTCCCCGCCGAAATCTGCCTCAAGATCCTGGGCTACCTCGACCCCGTCTCTCTCGTCAGCGTGCTGCAGACCTGTCGAGCATGGTACGACCTCGCCGTGGACCGAAAACTATGGGAACGACTATACTACCTCGAAGGCTGGAAGGCCGTGCAGAGCGAGATCGATGCGTGGGAGGTTAGGGTCAACACAGGCGTGAGCAACTCGATAGGGCATCTGCATAGAATGCAGACGTCGGACCATCACCCAAACAAGATCCGGGCCATTCTCAACAACGACGACGACGACGGAGATATGGAGATGATAGATCAGGACAGGCTTCCCAGCATCGTCGACAGCAGCGCCGGGTCCAGCATCTTCGGGACCCCCAACGCGATGCAGTCGCCGAGACAGATGCTGCCTTCTCTGGGGGACATGCACTTGGACAGCTTCACATCCGCCAAAGGCAAGGCTGTGGATTGGAGCCATGGGCCGTCGTCCTCGTCGTCGGAAAGTCGAGCCAAGCGCAAGGAGCCCGGCGGCACCCCCGAGATGTCGCTGCCATCCATCGAAGCGGGCGACACCACGGCGTCCATGATCAAGTCGACGCTCTGGACGTGGGACATCAACAGCTCGCGATATCGCATCAACTGGAAGTACCTCTACAACATGAGGCGACGGCTCGAGTCGAACTGGGAGCTGGGCAAGTACAAGACGTTTGTCCTGCCGCATCCCAGCTATCCTGAGGAGGGCCACCAGGAATGCGTCTACACGCTGCAGTTCGACGCAAACTACCTCGTCAGCGGCAGCCGGGACCGCACCATGAGGGTCTGGAACATGCACACGCGTCGGTTGGTCCGCCCGCCGCTGACCGGCCACACGGGCTCCGTCCTGTGCCTCCAGTTCGACGCAGACCCGGCCGAGGACATTTTGGTCTCGGGCAGCAGCGACTCCAACGTCTTCATCTGGAAGTTCTCCACGGGAGAGCTGGTGCAGCGCATCACAAACGCCCACCGCGAGTCCGTCCTCAACGTCAGGTTCGACAAGCGCGTCCTCGTCACGTCTTCCAAGGATAAGACCATCAAGATCTTCAACCGTCGGCCGCTGCGATATGGCGACGTGGGCTACGGCCCCGTGGATGCAGCCGTCAACCCCGTCGGCCTGAGCGTCAAGCCCTACGGTTACGAACCCGACCTCTCCCAGGAGCTGCCCGTCAAGCCCCCCTACACCGTCATCGGCAAGCTGGAGGGACACGGCGCTGCCGTCAACGCGATCCAGATCCGGGGCAACACCATTGTGTCCGTCTCTGGCGATCGCCACATCAAGGTATGGAACTGGCCGGACCAGGTCTGCACACAGACCATCCCTGCGCACGAGAAGGGCATCGCCTGCGTCGAGTTTGACGAGCGTCGAATTGTCAGTGGTAGTAGTGACTACGAAGTTTGCATTTTCGACGCGCCAACCGGCCTCAAGGTGGCCTCACTCCGAGGGCACGCCCATCTCGTGCGAACGGTGCAGGCTGGCTTCGGCGACTTGCCGTACAGCAAGGAGGAGGACGCAGCAGAGGCCAAGCGAGTGGACGCCGAGTACTTTAGGGCCGTCGAGGCGGGCGAGATCGACCACGAGGGCGACCGAAGGATTCGTCGCTCAAGGAGAGTGAATGCCGGAAGCTCTCGGCCGGCCGATGTCCAGGCCACGGGCGCCAAGGTCCCGCCAGGCGGCGGCGGTGGGCGCAAGTACGGGCGCATCGTGTCCGGCTCGTACGACCAGAGCATCATCATCTGGCGCCGCGACAAGGAGGGCGTGTGGAAGCCGGCCCATCACCTGCGTCAGGAAGAGGCGGCCGAGGCGGCACACAGACAAACTGCCCTGACCAACGGCCAGCGACAGGGCACCCAGCTTGCCTCGGCGGCCCTTGCCGTGTCGGCTGTGCATCCCGGGGCGCCGCAGGGCATGCATTCGTCGCCGATCAGAGACCCCAGCGGCGAGAACAGCCAGATGGCGCGCATCTACAAGGCCATGATCGACTCGGTTGTGCCCGTTGGCGTTGCTGCCCTGAGACAGGCGTTGGCGAACCACCCGTCAATGCTCATCTACCACAGCTACCTACAAGCCGCGATCGAGCGGGAGCCGTCCCCCTTTGTCCGAGCACATCTGAGGCAGGTGGTGGCGGATGGCCTGATTGCGATCCAGAACAATCAGTCGGCCAGACAGCGCCTCATTGCTCGCGGAAATTCTCACATCCAAGGCCCCGTCGCCGCAGCCCCTCACCTGCTCTCTGGATACGCGGGTGGTGCGATGGGAGGTCCCTCTTCTGCAGTGGCAGTCGACGGCAGTGGCAGCGATCAGCGACACATGGCTTATCCCTCAGTACTGGCGCCACAGGCTCAGGCCTCTGTTCCTCTTCACGCCCCGTTGCCCCAGCCATCGCAACTCTCCATCTCACCCGGTCAAGGACCCCCTCCCCAACTCCCCCCAATTCAATCAGAGCTTCTTGCCGGACAAACCCCTCCCGCCCAGCAAGGGGCGACGGCTGAGATGGCAGACGCAACGCCAGCCCCAGAGCAGCATCCGCGCATAGTGGCGGCCGAGAATCCCCCAGCCCGCGTCTTCAAGCTTCAGTTCGATGCCCGCAAGATCATCTGCTGCAGCCAGGCACCAGTCATCGTGGGATGGGACTTTTGCAACGGTGATCCGGAGCTGGAGGAGGTGGCCCGATTCTTTGCGGCCATTGATTGAGAGGGAGACGTGAGGAATCAAGGGGGACATTGAGAGACTACACTAACAAACCTGACGGCTATACACGTTCGATGCCCCAAAGGCAATGTGCTGGGTGGAGGAGTTTAGGATGCGGCGCAACGAGATTTTGGTATGAATATGGAATTTCTACTTGACTCCCCAAAAAATCAGAAAAGCATCAGAAAAGAAACAGGCGATGGCATCACTGCAGTCAGCATTCCCGGCAATTCAACAGTTCTCCCGGCGTTTGTACCACGTTGTAATTAGTCGAGTGAGTCGACACCTTTGTAACGGACAGGGCTTGGGTCTTGGTAGATGATATTGTAGATTTCGTTGTTCATTATTCAGACAAGCAAACAAGCGCAAAAAAATACGAATGCACATGATAAAAAAATCTGGGGCTGCTTTGCCTTGTGTATGTCGCTCAAAGGGTTAAAGTCAATTCTAACGATGTTGGTTGGTGGGCTGGAGGCATATACATGTAGAACTTGCGCCCGCGATCTCCCGCCTTGAAAAGCAGAGACGAATAGTAGAACCGTGCCGATTGTTACTCCAACAGAACGAATAGAAACAGTCGTACATAGTATGCCCATGCAAGATAAAAGAAGGGAGACAAGATCGTCCCAACATTTCAAGGTCTAACCCGCAGCCTGCTTGACCTTCTCTTCCGTCTGCGGCGGCTCGTCAACAAACTCGGGCACGACCTCGTCCTGCAGGAACCCCGGCACAGCACCGCTCCCGTACTCCTGCTCCAGCTCGGCCTCCATGCCCAACGCCTCAAGCTCGGCATCCAGCTCGGCCTCGTCGACCTCATCCGGAATGTCGTAGCCGCGCGCCAGGCTCTCCTGGATCTCGTTGCCGACGTCGAGCAGGTCGGCCATGTCGTCCTGCAGGCGCTCAATCTTGTCAATGTCGATCTTGCCGTACTGCTTGCGCAGCTCCTTGTTGGTGGTCTTCATGGCGTCGACCTGGGTCATGACGTTCTTGAGGTTGTCCTGCATGGTCTGGGCCTGCTCCATGTTCCAGACCTGGGCCTCGAGCTTGTCCTTTTCGGCCTCGTAGGCCTTGCGGCGCTGGAGGACCTTGAGGGCCTTTTGCTTGATGGCCTGCTTGCCGGGGCCGTCGCGCATCTTGGAGAGCTTCTCCTGGTAGGCGGAGAGCTCGCCGTTGAGGGCCTTGAGCTTGGTGTCGATGGAGGCGATGCGGGTGTCGATGTTGGTGATTGCGCCGGTGAGGGTTGGTTTGGGGCCCGAGGGCTTGGAGCCGAAGAGGCGGTTCATTTTGTTTTTTTTTTTTACGTTGTGTGTTTCCTCCTCTTTTTGGTGTTGTTGTTATTGTCGGTCGTTTATCGGTGAGGAGGGGGGGGATGCGTCGGGGGAGGGCGACGAGATGGCGAGGCTGACGATGCGGATGCTGCTGATAGGCGACGCGGAGGGGATGACGTTGGACAGTGACGAGGCTTGGGGGAGTTTGTAGGCTGTCGTCGGTGGACGGATTAGAGGGGCTACAGAGGGGCGCATTTCTGCAAGGCTGAGCTCGGGCCAGGATGGACTTGATGAGTCAGCGGGACTTGTAGATGATGGACCTGGATGGCCTTACATATAAGGTGAAGAGAGTCCAGGAATCAAGAGATACACACAAGGGATCAAGGCAAGACTATGCTACGTAGTACTACTACTAGTCTCATGACTGTGGGCACTTATTCTGCGTCTTGAAAATCTGTGCACAAGTGTTTGCAAGGCGGTTGTTTCACTGCATGTCTCAATAACCTTTAAAGGCCACTCCCTGGAAATTTGGAGCTCGAAGCGGGATCTACACCCTACAAGCATCACAAAGGTTAAATGAGTACAAATCGCCACATGTATAGCAACCTACTGATCAGCAAATAATAGTATGGGACGAGAAGTTACGCTACTTCAGTACATAAAGGCAGGGCAGTACCTTATAAACATGCCATATTTTACCTGCTACTGCAATATTAGCTATATATTTACTTTCTTATAGCTGTATTACAGCTAAGGTATGCCGTCTTTCCTCTCTCTGGCTTCCTGAACTATGTCTCCTTTTCCTTCTTTAAGTCACTGGGCATATTGATTTTGCAGAGGGAGTACATTCGCTGATCATTGCTGAAAAATCCTGCGTATCTTGCGATGTGCAGAGCTAACCTTTGTGATGCTTGTGGGGTGTACAGCTAGTCGCCCATCTGATGCAAAAATAGCAGCACCGCTCATCCATCTACTACTACCTACTGACGACTTAATGTGCAATATACTGTAGGGACAGAGTATAATAGTAGTAGGTCAATCCCATTGAAGGGCTTTCTGTTTATTGTCTTCTCAGCCATTGTTGTTACTATCTGGCGGTGTCAAACTCACTTCCTCTTCACTTTACGCGTCACGCTTCTCTGCTCCAAAATGCCCCTCCAATTGCATTCACTGCCCCATTAGGACTAACCCACTCCCCGCGCTTACCTGTTCGGGCCCAATGTAAACAAAGCCGAGCTTCCGTATCCCAAAATTCGGCAGACAAGCTCGAGCCGCGCTTCACGCACGCACTTGAAGGCACGCGACTCCAGTTCTGCATCGTCAACCGAACGCGTCCGCGTGGGGTGTCGGTCAATTCACCCGAGCGTTCGATTTAATTGATTTTCCATTCTTGTAGTATTTCCTTCCCCATGTCCCGCTAGCCGCAGCCACAAGGACCTCCCAAACTCCCACCTTGCACCTTTCCAGCATTCCGCCCTCTCAAACCACGAATTCCTCCCCAGCTTCCTTTTCGCATCGTGGCACGAGAGAACCAGCCGTTTTGCGCAATGGACGGCACGACAAGCGCCCTACGGGGAAGCGGGCACAGGCCCGTCTCAAGGTAAGACTCAGCCTCGACCTGCGCTGCGGTATCGCGACTGGCGGTGCTTGACATCTCCTGGCATCTGATCGTGGGCTAATGGTCGCGCAGCAGCAACCCTCTCCCAGCGTCGTTTGTGACGTTTTTCCCAGTGGCCCAGGAGGCCGAGACAACAACGTATGTGGACTCTTGCGGTCTCTTTTCGAGCGACGATTTCCCCTCCTCTTACCTCGAGGACAATGATTGCTGACGTGATTTCTGGAGGGACAGTTCGTGGGCAGACATGCTGGTCCCCCAGAAGTCCGCGACGATTCCGCGCGCCTGGTGCCGTGTCCCTGTCGCCGCCGGCCCTGCAACTCTTCGCAAGGGCGCCACCATCATGAAGCGTGTTGGACGGTCCGCGGACATGCGTGTGGTAAGGCAGCAGCAGGCGATGGCGGCCCAGGGCGCTGCGCAGGCCGAGGTCGTCGAAGAAGTTCAGGAGGCGCAGCGGGCGAGCCGGCGTCGCCTCAACTCGTTCATGCAACCGGCAGAGAACGCCATGTTGGAGCTGGTCGGAGAGCCTCTCTCGAGAGCAGAGATGGCGAGCGCTATCATGCGCGCCAAGGGTATGTTTTTTGTTTGTCTCTTTGTTGTCCGATCTTACACATCCACTGTCAAAGCGCTGCTTGAGCTGGACTTGGCTAACTGTCACTGCAGTGGACGTCGCAAATTGCTTCCTGCACGAAGAGTACGCCGACTTGTCAGATCAGAGAAGCCTCGCCAAGAAGAGCACATATTCCAAGAGGGTCGTCCCCCTGAAGCGACGTTTCGTCGATTATTCTTCCATCAACTTCGAATACGCCAGCGGTGGAAATGGCGGCGCCATCTACAGCGAGCTTCACCCCATACTTTCCAAGGCTGTCCAGACAGGCGTCAAGGAAATCGACGTCAACATGGCATCCATCACAGAGGCCGGAGTCCACCTGCGATCCATTCGTCGCAACCCTCGAATTCCCCTCGCCGCCAGCGGCATCCCCGATCTGTCAGACATTGCCGACGCCAACGAGCCAAGCATCCTCACCTTGGAACCCGGCGAATCCATGGTATCAGATGCCAAGTCTCCCACGAAGCGCCAGCCTACCCAGTCTCCTAGCCCTCCCAAGAACAAGAGCTTCCGCAAGAGACTCAGCGACACGATTGTTCGGCTGTTGCCCGTTTCTTCCTCTCGCGCCGAGCCCTCTCCCTCTCCCATCAAGCCGCCTTCTCCCCCGCCGCCCAGGAAAGACGGTTCTCCCCGCCAGAGGACGCCCTCTATTACCATTCCCAAGAGCCCCAGCGCGGCCAGATCCTCTTCGCCTGTGTCGGCAAACTCTACCCCTGGCATCATTCGCTGGACTAAGTCTCCCAAGGAGTCACCTTTCTCCCGCTGGCGACCGAAGCGCAAGTCAGAGCCAATCCCTACTCTCGCGGCACCCTCTTCTCCTTCTCGCGACGAGCCCGACTCTTCTTTCTCCGACATTACTATGGGCGACAGCTCTATCTTGGAAGGATCTCCTGCACACCTGTCTCGTCCCAAGGCCCCTACTCCTTCTAAGTGGAGTGGTCTGAGGCCTTCGACTCCTAGCCGAGCGTCCCCTCCCGCCGCTGTTACTGCGTCTAGTAATGACAGAGCCTCTTTGGAATTGGTCAAGTCGCTGCCAGAATGGATGCAGCATAGCCAGTCACCCTCCACGGTCCGACAATACGATCCTGCCCACATTGATTTCAGACCCTCCTCTCCCTCCTTTAGCGGTTCTGTGCCGTGGGTTAACAGCCCGGCCGACGCAATCGAGAATGGGCGCACCAGTATTGTCAGGCGACGCAAGAGTGAGCCACTGTTCAGAAACATGCTCAAATCTCAGAATGCGCGCCGAAAGTCATTTTCACCTCAGAAGTCGCTCAGAGGCCAAGAAACGAGTGGAATCCTGCCCACTGTCAAAGAGCCCGCCTCCCGCAGTCGAGACTTCCCCTCCCAGATTTCCGGGCATTCTCAAGCTTCTGTATACTTCAGTGCTTCGTCTGCTCAGTGTAACCCTCTCGACCCCGAACATGCCGAAGACATGGACCTCAGCGACCTCTCCCGTCAGTACAAGAGGAAGATGCGAGAGACCTGCACACGGCTGGCTGCTCCCCAGAGCGAAGATAACATCTTTGTCGAGGATATGCACCGCCCTGACAGCATCTTTGGCGTTCCGACCATTGAGACTCCCACCGCTGGCGCAGTCGAGCAGCTTTCCAGCTTGGCACAGAACGCATGCCACGGCAACGCCGGCGTCATGGTTGTCGAGTCTGATGGGCGCCTCTGGGTTCGGTTTAAGCTGCCGCCCAGATATACCCACTTGTTTCCCAAGAACCAGTTGGACGGGCCGTCATCATCTGAGAAGTCTCCGTCGGCACCCGATGCTCCTGTTTTCCGCTTCGTCAAAGAGTTCCCGCGTGATGAGGAATCTGATGTCCAAGCCAACGACGAAACACTTATTGTGTCCGACTTCAACGTGTCCTCTGCTCAGCCAATCTCGTCGCCGCCGCTACCTGACAACGACGAGAACGTGGATCCTCGTGCCCAAGCCAACGACGAGACTCTTATTGTTTCCGACTTCGACGCTTCCTCCGTCAGGCCAACTTCATCGTCGCCGTCTCGTGAAGACTCCTCTGCCCGCGCCAATGACGAGACCCTGATCGTCTCCGATTTCGACGTCTCTTCCGCCGGGCCCTCCGATGGCAGCACCACCGTTCCTGGCTACACGGAGCCGACTCCGGCAAAGGCTGCCAAGTCTGTCCCTGGTTCGGACAGTTCCTCCTCTCTCTCCGAGCTGGAGCGAACGCCCGACTTGGACAAGGCCGCCGAGTCAAGCATCGCCAGCATGGTCGCTGCCGTCCACTCCGCCGCCGCACCTACTCTCAGCTCCTCGTTCACGCCTGTGAACCAGACCAGTGCTCACGCGAGTTCGATAGACAGCTCGAACCGTGGCACCGAGTCCGAGGCCAAGGTCCGCAACCACGACTCTCCGGAGCGTGATTACCTGCGGGACTTTATCAGACGTTCGCGGCCCCGAGCCCGACGTCAGTCCACTGAGAGCGGCTCCCCTATCGCACCGGCGCAGCGTCTTCCTCTTGGAGCTAGAAGCCCTAACATGGAGACTCAGCAAAAAGAGAAGCGCAAGTTCGACAGCAGCGAAGGAGAAGAGAACGAGTTCCAGAGCACTGCTGAGCCTCCCACCAAGAGAGTTCGCAGCGCTCCTCGATCCTCTCCGCGAAAGTCGACTGTTCCGGCCAACAGCCAGTCCGACGATGAGGATCCTCTCGCGAAGGACACGGCCGCGGCACAAGCGAAGACGGTCGAGAACGCGGACGCGCCGGCAAACGCCGTCGAGCCTCAAGAGGCTCCAGCCGCTGCCGCCGCCGTATCTCGCCGATCGACCCGCTTGAGGAACAGGCCAAGCGCGATCCCCAAGTCCTCGATCCCGGCCCCCGTCAAGGTGGGCCGTGGACGTCCCCCTACAGGCGCAACGCTGGGTTCGGTGCGCACCGAGCAGCAGGACTTGGTCCACCAAACCCGCGCCAATACTCGCCGCAACAAGGGGAACGCGGAGTACCCTGCCCAGTTTCTGGCCAGGCGATCCGAAGAGGACGAGGGAGGGGACGGAGAGCTGGCGGCTGGCCAGCAGGATGAAGCCGAGGCTTCCACAGCACGGCGCGGTAAGAGCGTCGTCTGGAAGGAGCCTCTGGCGGACTTCCAGGAGGAGGAGAAGCCCAAGAGGGGGCGGGGAGCGGCGGTTGCGGCGAGAGCCCAGCCGGCCAGCAACCGGGTGTCAAAGCCCGGGCCCAAACCCTCGGCGGCGAACCAGAGGCAGCGGTCGACGAGACTGGCTGCGGGCCTGGGCATGGCCGGGAACGGGACGCCGGCCCCGAAGCGCGCGACCCGCGCGTCGACACGGAGTCGGAAGTGATGGTTGAGCCGTACGGTTCCCAGTGGTTGAGCCGCAAGGCTCCCGCTGGTTGAGCTGTACGGATCCCATCGCTTCTGACAAAGTGGAGACGGGGTCTGACATGGAAGTTTGTTTTCTGTTTTCTTATCTTAATTGCATCGCGAGGGCGTTGAGGGAAAGATACCCAGGACGCGTTGTTTGCTTTTTGAGGGGGTTGGTCGGCCGAAGGGCCATTGGTCTTGTTTTGTGTGTGTTGTGCCCTCGGCTTTCATGTCGGTTTTGGAGTTTCGGAACGGGGAAAAGGCATGGATCATGGGCAGCAGGATAATCCGCTGCGTGTTTAGAATCTTGAAATTGATCGATACGGTTTGCTTCTTACTGGACTTTGGACATTGTGATGTGATACGACATGTCGGATGCTTTTGGTACTACGGGACTGCAAGTCTGCAGGGTACCTAGACATGGCGGGCTATCGGACGCTCTGCATAAAGACAGGCTAGCATGTGTCATCCCCCGCTTCTCCATTGCTGGGCGGATGAGGATGGCTTCTATGAAATCTGACGACTGACGACAGACTGACTCTTACATGAAGGCAATGTAAGCAGTGTCATTTGGTTGGTTTTTCTCAACATAGACGCTCCAAGACAGGAGACGACAGGAATCAGCAAAGTACAAGAGACATAGCACGAAGAGACCAGAGCATCTCAGCCATGGCTACAGAAACAGTGGAAACGACACAGCTCCGTCTCGCCTCGCCGAACGGCATCGTCACACGAACCATTCTCAAGACGCCCCTCCGCGACGCTCTCCCGTCCGAGATCCCCGTCATCGACATCTCTCCTACCTTTAGCGATTCCCTCCAAGACCGAAAGGCCGTAGCGCAGCAGGTCCGTGCCGCGGCACAGAACATGGGCTTTTTCTACATCAAGAACCATGGTATCCCCGCGGACGTGACGAGGGATGCGTACGAGGCTTCCTTGGCCTTTTTCCGACAGGATACGGATAATAAAATGAGGGCTGATTCGAGGAAAGCCAAGTGGGAGAATGGGTACAGAGCACCGGCTACTCAGCGACTGAATCCGTACGAAGGGGTTGATGTGCGAGAGAGCTTCTCGTATCGGTATGACCCTCGGTACGACGATACCGTTGGAGAGAAGGGGCTGGAAGAAATACCGGAGGAGGTGAAGCGGTATTTACGGTGCGAGGAGTATCCGTGGGACAAGACGAGGAACTTGCCGCAGCTGAAGGAGAGCTTGACGAGGCATATCCGGGAGTGTCTGCGCTTGGCAAGGGCGCTGACGAGGTGTTTTGCGTTGGGGCTGGGGCTTGAGGAGGGGTGTTTTGATGGGAAGGTTAAGTATCCTGATGCGTCGTATGGGCTGAACTATTATCCTCCCCTTGAGCGGCCTACGGAGGAGGAGGAGGAGGAGGATGCTACAGAGGGGAGGGTGTCGATTGGATCGCATACGGATTTCCAGTTATTCACGATCCTATGGCAGGATTCACAGGGCGGGCTGGAGGTGCTCAACAAGCAAGGGCAGTGGCTGCGCGCGCGGCCGATCGAGGGCACGTTGGTGGTGAACCTGGGGGACTGCATGCAGCGGATTACGAACGATGCGTACGTGAGCACTGTGCATCGGGCGAGGAACCGTAGTGGGAGGGAGAGGGTGAGCATTCCGTTTTTCTGGGGGTTTGGGCTGCATGAGACGTGTAGTGTTGTTGTTGTGGGCGAGGGGGAGGAAAGGAGGTATGAGGATGTGAGGTGTGAGGAGTGGGTTGCGAGGAGGATAAGGGATATGAAGAGGGTTGGGGAGATGGTTGATGAATGAAGGTGTGATATCACTGTGTTGGATGGGTATGATGGTGTTGTTGATGAGGGAGGAGGACTGCCTGTCTGGGTAGGTGGTGATGGATGGCGACCTGGAGATGGCTTGGAGATCGACCATGGGAATTGAGAACGTGAGGGCAGAATGCCATGGGACTGAATTAGAAATGAGGTACCATCAGAGAGGAACATGACGTTTGATCCGTGGAAATGGGAATGGCATGTTGCATGTGTCTGATTACACTAATACTGGCCTCTCGATCGGGAGATGTGCAAACCCAGCAGGTTTGCGTCATTCAACCACGCATCGATTTCATAATACGCTCCGGGACCGGGATGAAGAAGCTATAGATAGCTAAAGCATCGCCACGAATGTCTATGTACACTGGTCTCTCATTTACGAGAGATGTGTTGGCGGCGGTGTTATTTGGGGGCGATACTGTACTTGTAAGGCTGGGATAGAATTTGGGATGCCAAAGTTGGAATATCCAGGTTGGGCTGAGGCGGGAATGACGTCATGACGTCAATGATTTACGCGGCCCCTGCAGGCGAAGATGGACGGATAAGGAACGACACGACGTTGTGGATTCGTCATGACTTTTAATTTGCGACAAGATGGCAAAAGACGGGGGGGTTGGCACTCGGGATTTGGATCCGAGAATTGCTGAAGAATAACTGGTTTGCTCTGTGAATGGAATGAGAAGAAACAGGACTACGAGTGCTCCGTGGAAGAGCGGACGTGGGAAAGGTAAGGGGGTTGGAGAGACGCCCCGGTGTGTCGATTTGTTTACCTGACACTCGCAATGTCTTGGACCTTGCAGGAAAGATAGAGAGGTAGAGACGAGATGCCTGAGGTTGATGATGTCATTGTTGTGAATGCCTGTTTTTCGGCTGGTTGACTTGGTGAGTTGTGTGGGGAGTTGCTTCAGCTTGGGAGCATGAGGATTAGTTTTGAGAGTTACCGTTTTAAACTGAGCTCTGGATGGGGGACATTCGGCTGCTCGAATACTATTCATATGGATTTGATAGGGATCTCGATTCTGTCATGTTCGGGTTTTAGGGTAGATGCAGTGTCTTGTGCGCTGGGTAGAAGCGGCATGTGAGGATGGCACAGAAGGACAAGACATCCCGTGACTCTGGGGTTTTGTTTCGCCCTGGCGATCTGGATGGGATATGGGCGATCTGAGGAGTTGAACTGCCGTTGCGCTTGGCTGCGGTTATTCTGATATTGAAGATGGGAGGTGTTTGGATTGTGCTTGAGGGAGATGATGGAGGCGCGTGGACGGCATACTGCGGTTTTGGAATTGTTCGCATGATGGGACTGTGCGAAGAGATGCTGCTTACTATCTAGGTACTATCTGGTACAATAGGATTTGAGACAAATGATGTGTAAGTTGGCGTTGCACAGTAAGCAGCACTTGATTGATTAAGGCGGGCGAGCGGGATTCCGGTGATCCTCGGCAGAGCAAAAGCCGATGGTGGACGCGGGTTCTCTATGGCTTGTCACAAGGGCAGCTTCGTTGCATCTGACCCTTTTTGGTTTGATATACAACTTATACTATACAGTGGTATGTATGTAGGATTGCTTGCGCGTCCGACGAGGTGGTTGTTGTGATGGTGATGGTGATGAGCCTTGTGTTGCCGCACTCGGGGCTGATGGGGGAGGCAGGACATGTGAGGTTCGTGCCAAGGGAGGGGATGACTTTGCACGTATTGAACACAGTTTGACAGTTCTAGGCACCGGGATATCAAAGAACGCTCGAGGCAGGCTTAAAGAAAGACACGATAGAAGATGATTTAACGGGAGAATGCGGGGAGACATGGCACCAACTCCCAATTTCCCCGCCCATCGACGAAGCTTTCTCCATCATTCAACGGACGGACCATCATGAAGGAGAACTACTACTACTGACTATCGAGTGCTACTCGAGTCATTTGCCGTCCAGCCGGAAGCCGGTCAAAGCACATGCAGTTGGCGATTTCTTGCCTCTCGGATGAAATCTGGGGAAAAGAGTGGGCGGCTAACAAGGCAAAAACAAGAGGGATTTGCGGGTTTATTGCGCCGAGAGAGGATCCGGCCGGGACGGACCCAACGGCGAATTATTTGCAGGCTATTTTGTTACTTTTTGACTATCATTGGATTTATTGATTTTGATACAGTGCCGACGGGATGTTTCTTTTCCGGAGATATTGGATAGTATCGGTAGTCACTGAAGTAGATGCTGTGGCAGGTAATCCTGCCTGGGCAGCCTGCTTGACTGTGTTCCATCGCCCATCCATCCCAGACTGGCGGTGTCGCTATCAATTTTTACCATCGTGTCTCTGCCCAGGTGCCGATTGCGCCTCGTGCACGGCGATCGCCACGGAGGGATTTCATGAGATTTGGGTCAGGAAGCTGACACTTTGTGCGACATTTGCGAGAAAGAAGGGGGTCGTGTCTGATAAGGTAAGGTAGTACATGTAAGTGATACAGGCTGCCATGGATCAAGTACCAATGTAGGGTGTCAAAAGGCTTGCATATGCCAACAAAGTAGGGCTGATGATGAGCCATCGGGAGACAAGTGTGAGTCAGGCAGAGAGCAAATCGCTCCGAGATGTTATGCTACTGCAGTGCGATGGTTGGTGGTTGTCCAGCTTTCTACAGTGCTGTGCCGTTTTGCTTGTGACATGCCGAGATGCTCCGTTGCAGCAGCACAGCTTGACGTTGATCTGGGGTTGGAAGCGATATAACTCCATGGTTACATCTCGACGGACTATTCTTCTGTGCCCCGTCTTGCTCCGCATTCTCTCCATCGATTGCTTGCGGTTTTGGGATTCGTCGTTGCGTCTTGTGGTTTGATGCTCACTCCCGCCTCCCTCCGTCTTGGCAGATGCTCGATTCGACAGGCGCGGCACACGAGGTCTTAGGCAGATGATGCGGGTGATTTCGCGTCGGTGAGGGACTCCTGTCCATCAGATGGCATCCAGCTGGTCCGGCCCGTCTATTAGGCAAAAGCGGGACGAAAGTTAATATGATTGTAGTTGTGTCTTTTGACGCCCATCACATCTTACGAGCTCGGCCGTAATCTTTTTATGATATTTCACATGCCCTATTACATGCCTGTTGCAACGCGGGGTATGCCGGGTCTACATGTAAGTGAAGATGACTGGCACAGCTTGAACCCTTAGAATGTTGGTGGCTTTTTCGGGCTGGCTTCGCCTGCAAGTCGATCGGCCGTGCATGCAGTGAGAAACCCAAGCGGGAAGTGACTGCTCGCTGCGGAAGGGTGTTGGTGTGAGGGAGTTGAGAGAGGTGATTGGACTGTTTCGGAGAGACAAAGAGGCAGATATGGGCTTACGGAGGGCAGACGGTGAAGAGCCTTGTTTCATTGGGGGATTCGCTTTAAGCGACAGACGGGCTGTGCAGATGGCAACATCTTTCTTTGGCTCAATCAAAGAGCAGGCAGGCAAGTTCAGTTTCATTGACCGTTTCTCTTTGTTACTTTGACGCTGTGCTTGGATGCTTGCCCGATGCGGCGGGTATCTCACTACTTATCCGATATCTTGAATGAAGAGACGACCTGCCCAAGCGGGAAACGCAGACGAGGCGAGCCTGGGCAACAAAGGCAAATGAGATGCTCGTTTTCATTTCTTTTTCTTTGTATTACGAAGTCGGCCCGCTGAACACTTGCTTTTGCCGGGGATGCAAAACTGCGCGTCCGTGCGAGTTGAAGCCTGGAGTCAGATGCAAGGGCAGGTTTGCTGGGAACGGATGGGCCATGCGCCCTCCGGCTCTTGTTTTGCCGCGGTGTTGAGATGATGCGCCTAATAGTAGTAGCCCGCGGGTAGAGATGGGGTAATGCGGGATAGTAGTAGTAACATGAACAACTTGTCCGTGCGTTTGTCTCGCCGGATTGGTAGGAGGAATGAGTGCCTGATGTGCGCTTTATACCTGACGGTGATGGACGAGTCACATTCATGATGTTCGCTTTTTTGCCATGCGGGGGGATTGGAGATGCTTGCTTTTCTGGCGTGATGTTGATGTCGATCTGGAGGGGTTGGAGTTGTTGGGCCAAGGGAGAGTGCAAATGTTGTATCTGTGTCTCACAGTGATGCTGTGGCTTATCGAGGTTTGCCTGTACTCGTATGCCCTTCTTTTACCCATCTTACTCAGGTTCAGTGAAACAAAAACATGTCAGCTGAAAGATGAATCAAATCCAAAGGAGTGAAGATGGACAGCGAAAAAGAGTTTGATATCTCGGATGCGACAAAACCTGAAGGCATCACGGCACTGTCTTTCTCCAAAAACGATCAGCAACCAGACAACTTTTTTTAAGGTTGTTTTGTGCCGGCGTGCATTAGCGGAAGAAGAGAAAAAAAATAAGCCCTTCAAAACGGGATGCCCAATTCGGAAGCACCGTTTTCCCCATTGCTCCCTTTTTGCACACATGTGCCACATGCAGCTTCAGTTGGGCAGACAGAAGTACTACTACCCCCTCGTAGGGCAACTGAATCGTGGTGGAGGGTGGCGGCGTCGTGTCGTCGATTCGGGCGAGATGCCACTGCTGGAGGCCGATTGGGCGGGTGACAGGCCGGGGGGACTTTACGAGGGCAAGCCTCTTTTTGTTTTCCGTTGCTGTTGGTTTGTTTTGTTTGAATCTTCTGTGTGGTCCGCCATTGCTCTATCTGGGCTAATACTATGACTCAAAATGCAGTACTCGTAATAAAGAGAGAAACTGGGAAAGAGATTTCGCAGGTTACAGTGTGCTGTGATGCTCGACTGTGTGGCTCAGACCCAGTGATGGGCAGAGGAGCATCTCTTGAGCCACCCCCAACTTTCAAGTTTTGTGTGTTGAAGGAAGGCAAGGAAGGATAAGAACCTTGGAAATAGAGAGAGAAAGAGGCGGAGGGACAGGGGAGGAAATGTCCATCAATCAGGCGATCCCTGGAGAAATGGCGACAGATAGGACCAAGATAGTAGTACCAAGATAGTAAGAGACCGCCATTTGTGAGGCAGAAGCAAAA